GGACAGAATAGCGAGCCGCCACTTTTATTTAGAAATTCTGTTGTACATTCTGTGACATAATAATTCAAGAAACGTCATAAAGGGAATTGAATGGTTTGAAAAATATGACCCAAACAAATTATATAAAAATATCAATGCAGCCATGTGAGAGGTTAAATTCTAATTTGCTGCTCTCCTACAGACTCTAAGTACACAACAAAATGCATTCAACAGCTGAGAAAGTGGATATTCCTTTAATGAATGAGGCAAAGTATTTATGATCCAGGAGTCCCTGTACAGTAAAATAGTGTTCCTTCTGACTTCATTCATGCAAATTCCTGCACATTCTTGAAGCAGATACAGATCCAAAGGTACTCCCAYAGACACACACGGCGGTATTCTCTGCTGCATACTTTTCCAGCTCTGGTTGGCAGCGGCGCACGGCAGTGACAGACAGTTAGATTGTTCCTGACCACTCGACTCGTGCTCTCTGCTCTGCGAGGTCTGATTTCATAGTGGGAAATATGAGCGAGGTCCAGGGGAGGGTTCATGGCTGGGGCAAGCAGGGGCTGCATACAGTGGGGGCTTCATAGCTCTGTCTCAACCTGGACAGTTTTCAGCCCCCTCCGCTGTGGAGGCCGCCCGCCCTCCCTGTAGGTTTTCTCAGCCTTCCACGCCTAGGATTGGTGCATTCCAGCAGGGCACAGCGCTTGGGTGGTCCCCCCTCGACGCTCCCACCTCCCCAGTCTTCTTTGACGAGAGCAAAGAGAAGCACAATGTGAGCGTTGATGGAGGCAGCGTGGATGCAATGCTTACCTGCCACTGACCCATACAGCTGTCAGAGTCCTTTTTTTTTTTTTTACAGTCTGATACACCAAACAGCCAGAGGAAGACGTCCAGCGGACCCCCGTCATGTAGACGGGGGTCTGATACATGCTGAGGATGGACTGACCTGCATCTCACCTTCAGCAAAAAAATCTCTTCTTGCGACTCAATCAGAACACGTTTTGCTCTCGCTTCACAGGTTCAGATTTATTGTTTTTGATCACCTTTGAATCAATCAAGATGAGTAACGTACACACACATTAACCCAAGAAATACACACAAACTAATATTTACACAAAGGAATGTTTCTCAGAATCTTACACATAAGTAGGGTCAACAACTTCATGCATGCACAGTTTAGCCACTTATTAGAGTTTGTGCAGAACAGCTGGGCCGAAGGTATCCGAGGCAGCAGTGTAAAAGTGTTAAAGTCATAGTTCCAAGATTTTTGAAAAGAGTTCTGTGGAAGGTCGAGGTGTTTTAACCTCTTCAGCCCCAAGAGGTTTCCTTCAAGTTTGTGCTTGAAATAACGTGCCGAAATGTAACTGAGTCTATCTCAGCATTTGCAAACTCTATTTAAATAATCTTGGTATAAAATTAAAYTTAAAACTTGGGGGATTTAAATAGAAGTGTAAATATTAAAGCAGCTGCTGTTGTTTCAAAGATAATGAGGARGGAACATTAGGGGAAAAAAGATTTTTTCCTTTTTGCCAGAAGTTATTTAGCATTAAGCTTTTTAAAAATATCATGAATAAGGCTAAAACCTCTTGGAAACCATAAAATTCACATGTGGACTTTACCTGTGCAAAGATTAATTCTGCTAAAATAAACTATAACAAAGTTACAGAGGTTTTAGTAAAGAAATAACTCAACGTATTGTCAATCTGCACAAGGATCATGTTGGTATCATCAATAAATGTTAAGAAATCTTAGTTTTTTGTTAAAAAAAACACTTATCTATTCTTTCATGCCATAAAAGCATTGCTTTTAAAAGTTGTTTATTTTTAATTACTCAGACATTTAAATTTCAAACAATAAGAAATGATTGGATTTGACTCCAACTGAAGCAAATTTACACAAAATAAAGTAAAAAAAATTCAAAACACTTTAAAACATTCTGGTATTTGCTTTGACTTGAATTTTGAAAAATAAATAAAGTAAAAAAATGATAAAAACATACTTGCAGATTTACGTAGTTTGTTTACTTTTGGATTCAACTTCTTGAGATTTTAATACAGTGGATGCAGAAATAGTTTTCAGAGGTTTTAGCCAAGATTCTGACATTTCTGTGAACACCAAACATGTTTATGATTAAATGACAGACCTAAAGTTAACAGAAGTCAACAAAAATAGAAAACTGGAAGCACAGTTTTGCTCCCAGTACCGAGGGCGTGGGGCTCAAAAGGTCCACTTTGGTCTTGATRGTACTTGGACAAGCTGTTAGCTCATCTATTTCTCCAAGCGGAGTTCATTCAAATSGTTTTCCACAACAGGTAAGATAATAACTGCTCATAAAARTTCCACAGAATCCCACTTCCAAAAAAATCGAAACCATCCCTTTAAAGCGGTGAAAATGATGTGTCAGAGACCCACGACCGTTGTGAATATTTTACATTTATATATTTTTTTCTACCCAAGAGATACTGGATGTTTCCAGGATGTATTGCAGGTTGAGCCCGACCCCCACGTCTCCATGATCCCAGATCTCCACCCTCAGGAGGTAAAGTACGAGTCCTGCATGGAGTAGAGGCAGTCGATGGGCGTGAGTGGAGAGGTGTCGCCCAGAGAGAGGCAGGTGCTGTCCACCACATGACACAGAGGCTCTCTGTCAGTGTCGCCCTTAAAACCTGCAAAAATCAGATTTGACATGAACAACATTTCTGTGAGGCTTTTTTACAGATTTTACACAGAAAATGTGCTTATTCAGCAGCTTTTATTTTAAATTTTTGTACAACTGCTGATGTCATCACAACCTGATTTGATGTGTCTGAGCGTGGATCACTGAAGACCGAAGGACAGAACATTTTGGTTTGTGCTTTTCTTTTTAAATATATATATATATAC